TAATATAAAGTTCTGTATTTTTGTCAAATCCACGATCATATTCGGCTAATGTTAATATTATTTAAGTATGAAACCATTTTATGTTCCTAATATGATAATAACCCTCAGGTAGCGATGATACAGGAAATATTTTATACAGTTAATTATTTCTAATGTCAATAAAAACTAAACTGTATTTTGTGTCCTAGAATGAAGATATTGATACTTAAAACTGCTTAATGACATGTTGAGCGTGAAAAGCAATTTCAGCAGGAATCGGGTGAATTCTTACATTGTGTTTCAAGTCATCGCTTCGTTGCATTCGAAAAAAGGGGACTATATTTCTACGACCTACCCTAATCTCTCAAGTGACAAATTTTAAGTGTTAAATCTTGGAACTATCTGGCAAGCTTTATGATGGTGTAAGTGGAAGTCGACAGCCTCTTTGTACAATGTCGCGACCACAGCCGGGATCATAAGCTAACTTGGCACCATTTCTTTCAAACTATATCCGATTCCAAATACATGGAATTATGATTGATTACATTTCGGCTCCCAAGGGATGTTTTGTTCGGGTTTTAAAGAAAGGTGGATTTGTATGGACAAAGATGTATAGTTTTCGAACAAAAGTTTGTTTAAAAGTTATCGCCAAAGAAGACTGGTAAAGTTCCTGTGGTGAACTGGAATCTGATGTTCTAGTCAAAATTGGAAGTTAATTACCCAATAAAAGAACTTCTTCCAAGCTTATTTAATTTCAATCTCACGACTTACAAAACCCATGTTGATTGATAACATTATGGTTCTCTGGAAAGGGCAGAAAGTACTGACAATGTTTCGTATACAAACATTGTGCATTATAACTGGTTACCTGAGAACTCAGACAGTACACAAAAACATATCATACGCCCACATATAAGAGCAGTTACAGAGCAAATAAAACCACGTTATAGTATTCTTTATATATTTACTGATAATTCAAAAAGTAAAATATGTTTGAAATCAAGTAAGTACTTTGCAACATGAACTGACGAGATGTTATATAAGTCTTCTTTGAAACTACAGAATCTCGTCTACAAAATACAACATAGACTAAGTCGTTTATACCAACTTAAAACATGTTCAGTCGAAAAGTAAGAACGTATATCAGTACAGCTTTGGGTTACAGACAGGAGCATAGCATACACCGCACATCTCACCAGAACAGTCGCGATTGGGGAAAACGCTTCTTCTAGGTCAGTTTGTTTTGCTTGTAACGAAAAACAGAAAAGGCGATTGTAGATAAGTGGGTAAAGGCACCGAGATTTATTGTATGGGTCAGGAGTTGGATTCCGGGAATGGGTGGGGCGGACACTTGTAGGAAATCGGGCTAGGCTACTGTACTCTGTGCATGATAACACCGGGTCTGGCTACAGCTCCGCCGCTAAACCAGTGTCAAATGTTGTATTTATGTGTCCGGCAAGTATATATCATATTAGTTGCATACCAATCGGAAATAAGAAGATTGTTAATATGTTTTCTCACCGTATTTGATTTTAAAACACAAATATTTCCTTCTTTGCGAACGCGGGAATTTGTTGTGATATGAATGTTCATTTCGTCAAGCATGGTTATATGTGCGCGTGGTCGAATTATTATGTACGAGTGAGACGTTAAGCAGCCAGAAACTATAATGTATACCATTGTATCCTTATTCTTACCATCAACATCATAGCATGGACGAATACAGCTCAAAACCTCATCAAAATATTTGAAATTATTCTTCAAATGCGTAATATGTAATCCTTTTTGTGATTTACCCTTATGACATTGTTAAACATATTATATGCAACACGAACTTTCATTCCGGGTGTGAGGTTATATTCAACTGAATAGTTTTAGAAGCTCATATTTAATATCCAAATGTCATCTCCCCGACATGAACTGTAAGATCACAGCCGCAATCTACCCTCTTCACAAGTTTATGAATAGCAAGTATATAAATACCCGCCTATCATAGCAAATGTGTCTATAATAGCCTGTGTCCCCATTTGTAGTACAACAAGGCTGAATTCCCTACCTCAGCACTGATATTGATGGGGATCCGAGCTTTGTATTGCCATGCCGGATCTGTTACTGTCCCATTGTCCCGTCCATTGAAGCTTATTTGCCAACTTCATAATGGCTGCGCTGTAACAGGTTAAGTCATGAATGGAGTATTGTAATGGACGCCAACACTACGAACGCCACACACGCTGGAAATCTGAACTCATTTTAATAATTCCCCTGAATAAATCAAACTCGACAAAATATTAGGCATGCATATTGATGAAGCGTTCAAAATTTAAAGGATGTGATTCTCCTACAAGGAAGGACATGGTTATGTTGCGTCGTACTCACGTAATAATATATCATATTAAGTACATGCATTTTTGCATTTGGCTTTAAACGTTTGTTTTTATTTGACATTTTAAATGTTTATTGTACGCGTCACATGTCGTTTGAGACGAGTAATGCAGAATAAAAGCGTCAAATGTTGCTGTTGAATGCAAAAATGATTTATATTAGTAAAACGGTCATGTCACAATGGGTATTGTTCTAGACCTTCACGTATGGGCCCTAACAAATAACTTTGATCTTTATCATTGAATTCCCGTGTGTGTTATATCGTACAGTCGGCGGTTAATGATGAAAGCGAGGAAACCCAAAAAGGATGAAAATATCAGTACTTCCGTGCGATTTTATTGCCTGTTGATTGGAAATGTTTCAGTCGCTGACAATGCCAATAACCAAATCTAGATGTCCACTTTAGATGAACCCTGCAAAAGCCAGCAAACCATGTCTGTTTAACACATGAAATCCCTTCTTTGAAAGCTTGGCGTTCGCACTAGGGCGAGGAGAGATATGATCTACAGTGATTAGTGCACAGGGAGGAACCGTGCTTATAATGGATATTACTCACACATGCCTCATCGACCTATTGTTCTGTCACGTTGACAAACGCAGTGAGATAATAAGCTTCATACACGCCCTAATCTGTCAGCCGTACTATAAATACCCACGCCTGTAAACCACGACACGCTTATCTTCCGGTAACAATTTGTATTTCCTACATGCAATAGTTATCAAAGCTTAAAGGGTATTTATCCACACGTAAAACAAAACGTGCTGCTCCTGTTAAAACGTTTGTTTGCATCGTTGACCCTAGTCTGCCAAGTCTGTCACTGTCGTATTGCCTTCTGTTGTCATTAATTTATGTTTCGAATATCATTAATGGTTCCAGTTTGGTACAAATGCTAATCCTAGGTCGGCTTTGCGTTCAGTGAGTCTCAATGGCAACTCCTTCGAAAAGGTTAAGTTGTGGAATTAGTAAGGGTTTGAGGTCACCCGAAAATGAGATTCAACAACATCACTGGTTGGAGAATGGGGTGCTTGCAGCTATATAGAAGCGGGGGGTATGTTGTCAGATTTAAACCCAGCAAGTGGGACTATCGATCAAGCAGCCCTGACAAGCAAAGATTAATGTCCACATGGGACAGAAACAAAAACGCAATGCAATTGTCTCCGACCATCCAGTACCATATTTCAGAAAACCATTCCCCGTTCCATCTGAAACAGTCCGTGATCCACGGTGTAGAAAAGATTGATCATAACGGGGACGGTACGAGGGTTTGTACTGCGGTCTGCGGGGGACCCGTGATTGATGTATCGTGTCACGACCAGCCAGCCGAGACGCGGACCTGTTTGTCCAGGAATCAGAGCCACTGATTTGTGATGCTGTGATAGCCAGTTGTCTCATGGACGATGTCGTTCGCGACGGCCATACACTCACGTCAGGTGCTCGTCGCTGGTCTCGCGAGAGTTGTGTGTCAGACTTAGTTAAACCGCCACTCACGGCGTGGCTGGGATTAGTCTCGAAGCAGATTGTGGAGTGATTAATGGCATGTCTCTTTAGTGCCAACGCGACATATTATTTTGATCGACTTTCCTCAGTTCGAGACCTTCTTTCAATTTGGTGCTGTCTGTGTTTGGAGTTATGAATTATTAAGTACTTCACTACCATGAACTGTGATTAGAATTGAAATTTACACAATGTCAACGTGGATAAACATCGACTTCAGATTAAAGTAATTATGACAGCACATACTCAATGTAATCTCCTCGAAATAACAAGAGGATTCACGCATTGTAAGTTTCGCGGGATTGTATTTGTTTTCAGAAACGCAACATTGTTTCGTCTAGGTTACCATGAACTCCTTGCATTCTAGTCGGGATCTCTCTCTCTCTCTCTCTCTCTCTCTCTCTCTCTCTCTCTCTCTCTCTCTCTCTCTCTCTCTCTCCTCTCTCCCCCTCTCTCTCTCTCTCTCTCTCTCTCTCTCTCTCTCTCTCTCTCTCTCTCTCTCTCTCTCTCTCTCTCTCTCTCTCTCTCTCTCTCTCTCTCTCTCTCCCCTCTCTCCTCCCTCTCTCTCTCATATTAACAGGCACGGTGCTGGCTGCTTTCATCAAAATGGTTATATCCAAAGACCAACGTTAGAGTGTTCCTTCTAAAATCTAACTGAAACTATCTATTTCTTAATAACAGGGGCACACAAAATTCGACTTCCATAAATATGTCTGCTAAAAGCAGGGTGAATGTGTGTATGTATTACTGGCAAATAGTGATGATACCGGCTGTTCGTGAATTAGGTGAGCGTATCCTGCCCCATCAGTGAGACAAACCAGGCTAACCACCTGTTCCCCTAAAGTGATACGAGGAAATAGGGAACAAGCTTAAGTTAAAATAGGGAACTGCAACGGATATCATTTTTGTCAGTGATATGTCAAATTGGGAAATGTCACCCACGGCTGCCATTAAAATCTTTGTGAAAGCTTAACTGAAACATTGAATATCATATTCTGGATCTAACAACCTCTTAGCAAGAGTGACATGACATCTTTGTGAAAAGAAGATGTTCAGTTATGATTGAAAGTTTACCTGTAAGGTTTACTTCATGCAAATGATTTTCTTTGTTCTGTTTGTCATGGTTATGCTTGATCTGTTGCAGCAGGGACCTAGTTGAGGAAAACATGAAGCAGGCGATGCATCAGATGTGCAACATGAACCAGCCCATGATGCCTCACGACTACGGCCACCGAGACTTCAATCTGTCCATGCCCTTGGTCAAGTCAGAGCCCATCCCACCCCACTACCTGTGTTCACCACCCATGGACCACCACCATCACCACCTGCACCACTCCGTGCCCCCCGTTTGACAGTGGGCCAATCCAGGAATGGACTCGACCTGTTGGTAGCAGACGACATGCTGACGAGATGTGGTATAACGACAATGTTACCTGTGCTTGAGTCCAGTCCTGGAGAGGGTGTTCTTCATCCGTTTCGGGAAAGGATGTGCTTCGGACCAGTCCTTGAAAGGATGTGAGCCCCATCCTGGTGAAAGGGTACTTTGCGCCATAATGAGCTCGGTCTCCAGTATTTAATTACGTTGGTTCATCAGCTTCAACTTTCTGACCTCTAGTTTGCTCTAGACAAATACTGCCATGTAGGACTGTCCATTGCAAACAGAGGACATCAGATGTACGCCGTTGGTTAAAACTAAGAACTTACCAGCATGGAGTGCGTGAAGTCTCCAAGATGTATCAACGAACATTCCTGTCTTCCTCCAGTGTTGGGGGAGACGTTTGATGGCTTTAAGGACTCATTTCCTAACTTTTGTCCAAGTCACTAATGTTGCTTGGAAGAAAGACGTTGACAATGACACATTCTGCAAGGTGAATCTTCTGTACCGTGCTTTGTTATCTCGTGCTATGTTTTCTCTGAACATTTGTTTATTGTGTATGTTCCCAGTATGCTGTGATGAAGATGATGATGATGATGACGATGGGAGAGTCTTAAAGAACGTGAATGGGAGAGTGAGTGATTTCGACACCTAAAGCCCACTGTTTCTGGTACAGTCATATCAGAAGTTACGATGAGGTTATACTGTAGGTACCAGAATGTAAAGGAGGAATATTAATTTTGAACGAACGCAGTGCCATCAGTAGATTGTTAGCCGTGGACGCTATCACCACTATCGTCCTCACGGGGTATCACATTGTTTATCTGGCTACACATGCCTAGTGCCAGTATTAACCTTTCAAATATTAAAAAACACATTTATTAGACACTAGGTTTCATAATTGGTCTAGGTTTTAGCCTAAAGAAACAAAATAAGTACAAATTGCGACGTTGTGTTCTTTAAAAAGTCTGGAATTAATATAGGTAACGGTGCTACATCAAAGCAGTTGTTCATTAGAACCAAGCCTAAGGCCTTCTGTGAACCTATATATGAATAATAAACTGAAATACAGAACAGTTTTCACTCGAAAGTAGTAACTGGAATTCGGGTAAACATTTCCACTGAATGACAAAAACACTGAGGTAGTTCCTCCTCATCACACTCTTCTTTGGGGTTATTATCAATTTAATTTGCTGATACATTTCAAGACAACTTTATAAGGTTTTAAATTTATTTCGTACTAAGTTTTGTCTGGGATGATCAGTAACCTAAATAATAAGGAAATATTTCCAAATTTTACAATACTATGATATTGTATGACAGTATAATACCAACTTCCAGAGGGTGTGTGTGCATTCTTCTGGACAGAACTAAATGTAGTGCTAGCGTACATTGTACTGTATATAATGTAAGACAATATAAAGAGTTTTCGCTTTGTCATGATGTATACAGTGTGTCAACAATTGTTCAAAGATTATTCGAGTTAATGTTATGGATTTCCCATAACAGAGTAATTTATATTTTACAGCATGCTTTAACTTATGTCACCCTTTTTTCTATGTCAGATGGATAATTTCATATAAACCTTTTTGCATTATGTGTTTTCTTGAATCAGAATAAAAAGTGTTATGTTTACTATAGTTGATAAGTCTCAATTTGTATTTTAAGTTTTGCAAAATTGCTGTTACAACGCTTTTCAATAGTAAATACCACCCGCGGGTACCATTGGTTATTTAAAGAGTCAACATTGATAGGAAGCAGCTGAAACATCGGATCTGGAACTGTCCCACTAAGCAGCGACAGCTCTACGAGTAATACTGTATCTTAAGTCTGGAAGTCAATCCTGGAAGTGGCGCTGAGAATGTTCTGCGGAATGGCCCTGAACACAAACCTTTACAGCCCAACCTGAAATGAAGTGTGAAGTGCTGATAGGACCACCGAGGTGGACACATTCTGTGTGTCCCTGTTATTCTCAACATGTATGATTATTTTCACTTTGTGTTAATCCTCATGGTATTTTTGATACTCCGATGACGTCATTGCCTATTGCTATTAAGTGCACATCTCCAGGATTAAGTCTCTGATAATTATCCTCATGCATTTATTTAAATGGACTAAGTTTATTCATCACGCTATGTAATGTCCTTTGGGGCTTTTGATCTCGGCTGCTGAAGACTCCGTCGAAATTCAAATATATCACTTAGTGCTTAGCCATAGTGCTCTTGTCGCTTTGGTGGAACGGACCCAGATGATAGCGACATGGATACAAAGTTAACATATTTGCATCAATGCAGCAGTAGACATGGTTGCCGTGACCTCCTTTCAAAAAGGATTCGGAGATATCACCGTCGATCTCAAAATGTGCATCTGAAGGCGTTTATATAATGTAAACTAGGTGTCACGTTCAGATAATGGATGTATATCTGACAGAGTTAAGTGCCCTTACCTCCGAGTGTTCAGTTGAAGGGCGCTAACAAAGTTTCATCTATTTTTCAATTTTTTTAATGTTTGTTACATTCTTTATTTTTCGTCTAACATGACTATCGATTCTGTGTGAGTGAGCAAGACGTTCGTGGTCTTCACACGTTACCGTATACTCGTGTTCATTTTATATGTGCAATCATGTCCGAAAATAAACAAATGATAAAACAATACTACTATTTTCTTATTTTGTTATATTTTTTATTTGTACTATATCGTTACACAGTCGTAGTACAAGGCATCACATATTGTCCATACAATACTTATTTGTGTAATCGAACCTGTTTACCCGACAAGCAAGAAAAAACTTGAACCACTGAACTACCCCACCGACATAGGTTTAGCCATGTTTTCAACAGTATATTTATCTAACATCATCAGTATGTATGGTTCACATGGAAACAAGTTCGACATTGACTATGAATTATCGAAAAGGTATCCAGCATGTTTTGTGTGTAGAATACATGTTGCATGGAAACCTGAAAGGGTAAGCAGTGCTGTGACCATGTGTACAGTGTGTTGTTAAAACTAGCCACTTTCCAAACCCGTCAGCGACACATCTACAGCGTGTCGACAAAAACGATATATTTCAGTCTAGACCAATTCCCACGCAAATACGAAGAAGAACCTCCACAGAAGAAATAATGTCGCAGAATTCCTGCTTGTTCATGAAATGGCTGGATGATATGGTTTCGCCATATTATGCTCGAGGGGTCTGTATTTTGCATTTATCCTGGGACAGTGCCATCAGTACATTTCTTCGAAAATGAAGGTGTGGTTAACATATGTCCTCTTGTATTTCTATGTACAATGGGTTTTTTCATGTGCTCTGAATTTCATGTTGCACTTTCTTGTATCATGTATTCTACCGTACCATCTTGTACTCTCATGTACCATGCTGTATTCAGTGGTTCGATATTGTACCCTATAGTATCATCTTTTACTTGTTGTATCATGTTGTGCTCTGATGTATTCTCTATTTTCTTGTACGGTGACGTATTCTGATCTTAGATACCGCATTCTAATGTAACCAACACTGTATCAAAGTACACACACACACACACACACACACTCACTCACACTCACACACAAGGTATACTCTCACTGTCAAATCTTCATACACTCGTATGCTCACTCAAACACACATATATATATATATATATATATATATATATAGAGAGAGAGAGAGAGAGAGAGAGAGAGAGAGAGAGAGAGAGGTCACACACAAAGTATACTCACATTAACTAACTTACAGCCACACACATATACGCCGGCGGCATCATCAATATATTATACCCATCAAAGAGCAATCCAACCGCTAGCAACATCATTGATATATTATACTAGCAACATCATCAATATATTATACTAGCAACATCATCAATATATTATACTAGCAACATCATCAATATATTATACTAGCAACACCATCAATATATTATACTAGCAACATCATCAATATATTATACCCATCAAAGAGCAATCCAACCGCTAGCAACATCATCGATATATTATACTAGCAACATCATCAATATATTATACTAGCAACACCATCAATATATTATACTAGCAACATCATCAATATATTATACTAGCAACATCATCAATATATTATACTAGCAACACCATCAATATATTATACTAGCAACATCATCGATATATTATACTAGCAACATCATTGATATATTATACTAGCAACATCATCAATATATTATACTAGCAACATCATCAATATATTATACTAGCAACATCATCAATATATTATACTAGCAACATCATTGATATATTATACTAGCAACATCATCACTATATTATACTAGCAACATCATCGATATATTATAAACCTCAAGGAACAATCCAACCACTAGCAACATCATCGATATATTATACTAGCAACATCATCGACATATTATAATTACAACATCATCAATATAGCAATAGCAATCGATATATATTACAGCTAGCAACATCATTGATATATTATACTAGCAACATCATCAATATATTATACTAGCAACATCATCAATATATTATACTAGCAACATCATTGATATATTATACTAGCAACATCATTCATATATTATATCATCAGCAACTTCATCAATATATTATACTAGCAACATCATCAATATATTATACTAGCAACATCATCGATATATTATACTAGCAACATCATCGATATATTATACTAGCAACATCAGGACATATTATAAACCTCAAGGAACAATCCAACCACTAGCAACATCATCGATATATTATACTAGCAACATCAACGACATATTATAAACCTCAAGGAACAATCCAACCACTAGCAACATCATTGATATATTATACTAGCAACATCATCGATATATTATACTAGCAACATCATCGATATATTATACTAGCAACATCATCGACATATTATAAACCTCAAGGAACAATCCAACCACTAGCAACATCATCGATATATTATACTAGCAACATCAACGACATATTATAAACCTCAAGGAACAATCCAACCACTAGCAACATCATTGATATATTATACTAGCAACATCATCGATATATTATACTAGCAACATCATCGATATATTATACTAGCAACATCATCGATATATTATACTAGCAACATCATATATTATACTAGCAATTAACTAGCAACATCATCAATATATTATACTAGCAACATCATCAATATATTATACTAGCAACATCATCGATATATATTACCTAAACTAGCAACATCATCAATATATTATACTAGCAACATCAACGACATATTATAAACCTCAAGGAACAATCCAACCACTAGCAACATCATGGATATATTATACTAGCAACATCATCAATATATTAAACTAGCAACATCATCGATATATTATACCCTTCAATAGAACAAAGCCAATCCAACCACTAGCTAGCATCATCGATATATATCGATATATTATACATCAAAGAGGAACAATCCAACCACTAGCATCGATATATTATACTAGCAACATCAACGTCATATTATAAACCTCAAGGAACAATCCAACCACTAGCAACATCATGGATATATTATACTAGCAACATCATGGATATATTAAACTAGCAACATCATCGATATATTATACCCCTCAAGGAACAATCCAACCACTAGCAACATCATCGATATATTATAGCCCCTCAAGGAACAATCCAACCACTAGCAACATCATGGATATATTATACTAGCAACATCATCAATATATTATACCCCTCAAAGAACAATCCAATCACTAGCAACATCATCGATATATTATACCCCTCAAGGAACAATCCAACCACTAGCAACATCATCGACATTTTATGGGAAGAGTGGGTTCCGAAGATAAGGGATAGGGATAATATCGTGGGAATATCAATGTTAAACGTTCTGGAAAATGTACTGAAGGCATGATGTTTCACCAGGACACTGTTGACCTCTATTGTCGTCATTGCTACGACATATAACTCTGAACTCATCAACGTACGCATTGACCAAGATCTCCATCTCTTCCAAACCTTGAAGCAAGAACAATCTGGCAATATGACGTCATTTCTGCTGTGGATGACTTTTGACAGCACCGGAATCCAGGTACTCGTTGGTAAAGTGGCTGGAAGGAAGGCTTCTACATCAGTGGAATACAGCTACTCGTTGGTAAAGTGGGTGGAAGGAAGGCTTCTACGTCAGCGGGATGGAGGTACTCGTTTGTAAAGTGGGTGGAAGGAAACCTTATACATCAATGGGATTTAGGTAACTCGTTTGTAAAGTGGGTGGAAGGAAGCCTTCTACATCAGTGGCATCCAGGAACTCGTTCGTATAATGGGTGGAAGGAACCTCCTACATCAGTACGATCCAGGAACTCGTTGGTAAAGTGGGTGGAAGGAAGCCTTCTACATCAGTGGCATCCAGGAACTCGTTCGTATAATGGGTGGAAGGAAGCCTCCTACATCAGTACGATCCAGGTACTCGTTGGTAAAGTGGGTGGAAGGAAGGCTTCTACATCAAGGGGATCCAGGTACTCGTTGGTAAAGTGGCATCCAGGTACTCGTTGGAAGGAAGGCTTCTACATCAAGGTACTCGGGATCCAGGTACTCGTTGGTAAAGTGGGTGGGGGAAGGCTTCTACATGAAGGGTATCCAGGTACTCGTCGGTATAGTGGGTGGAAGGAAGGCTCCAGGAACTCGTTGGTATAATGGGTGGAAGGAGCTTCTACATCAAGGTGATCCAGGTACTCGTTGGTAAAGTGGGTGGAAGGAAGGCTTCTACATCAGTGGCATCCAGGTATCCAGGTACTCGCATGGTAAATGGGTGGACGGAAGGGATCCAGGGATCCAGGTACTCGTGGTGGTGGAAGGAAGGCTTCTACATCAGTGGCATCCAGGTACTCGTTGGTAAAGTGGGTGGACGGAAGGCTTCTACATGAAGGGATCCAGGTACTCGTGGTAAAGTGGGTCGTTGGTAAGTGGGTGGAAGTGGGTGGACGGAAGGCTTCTACATCAAGTGGGATCCAGGTACTCGTTGGTAAATTGGGTAGAAGGAAGACTTCTACATAAGTGGGATCCAGGTAGTCGTTGGTAAAGTGGGTGGACCTCGGACGGGATGTTACAAGCTATTTAACACGCAAACAACAGAATCAAAGCAGTCCATTCCAGTTAGGTCCATACCCTTTCAGCTTCCCCTCGTATTTTATGTTCCACCAGGAAACTGTTGTACCCGACTGCAGAGTTTCAAGTGCCGGTTGTTTCCATAGAAGATTGTAGCCATATTGCTTATAGCAGCATACAGCAGAAATCAACAACAAATCTCTCAGTGACAGTGCAAACAAACTGCAGATTAAATTGATCTGAAACTGACATAACTCAAATGACTTGCAAACTTGAAAGGAATAAACGGTGTATTATTTGTCATTTATTCATTGTTGCGTTACTGTGGTGTGGTTTAATACCGAGTGTAACACTGTTCAGAGTGGGAGGAAGTCCCACAGCCGGGCAGATCATGGTGTCCTCCTGCTGTGTCAATCCAGAAGCACGGACGTAGTGCACACTGCATCAAAGTAGTTGACACCGGATGTGCACCAACAACCTGAGCTCCAACAAAACAGGCAGTAAACTCACACCACAGGACCATTCGGGCCCCTACGGACACTTACCAAATTGGCTGCTGCTCAGCTTGGACCCACGTGTA